TATTCAATTCAGTGCTCAAGGACTTTAGCGTTCTAAGGTACCAAAGTGCTAGGGCTCCAGGGATTTCCCCCTCCCAATTTTGGCACTCTGAAGAGCCAAAACCGTTTTTTTTTTTCATAAGACTGAAATATAACGTCCTATAGCTTGTTGCTGAAAAAGAATCATGATATACAAGACTACTCCTTACCGCTAGAATTGCTTACCTAGAACTCGTATTGCAGAAACATTCAGTCCTTCTAATATGCCAGAGTCAAGTCCCTCGACTAAATGATTAAGAGCTTCAGCCTTTCTCGTCGTGTTGGAGTTTATTACGGCCAAGATCTCGAGGTCGGCCTCCACACTTCCCATGCTACGAAATAAGGACACTTTGCTGTTAGTAGTTGTGTTTAAGCACGGTGAATAGAAAATATGAACTCCTTTCAGTGCGGTTTCGTTCCCGTCTTCGGGTGCAAGCGCACAACAGGTTGGATATAGGGAAAACAAAACTATATTTCTTCTCATCTAATACACTAGCCGGCTATGCTATACGTCCGTGCCATAATGAGGGTACTTCGAGCGAGAAAGGGACAACGAGCGGTCAAACAAAAATGGAGACGGTGATGGTTAGGTCATAGAGTAGCAGGTTTAAGGTACTGAAGATTGTAGAATGATGACGTCATGGTGACGTTGTTGTGGGATGGTATGGAAGTATGGACCTACCTGAACCTCAAGACTTGAATGTCAAAGATCTTCAAAACGGAAGATTTGTTGTAATGACGCATGATCTACAATTGAATTAAAACAGATAAGTTGAACTATGCAACTTATATTACTCGTTGAACGTTTTTCTACTGACAAATTTGACGCATGTGACAATTGGAAGAACCCGACGCGCATTCTCATAGCGTGACCAAGCCCATTTAAAGGAGCGACGTCACGGTTTCAGTCATCTTGAAAAATTTAGCCTCAATTTTTCCAGTTAGTACGATAGTTAGTGGTTTGTTATCCGTGTCAATCTTCTCCATCCTTGACTATCCCTGTTCCTTTATGGTTTATTATTATCTCTTTGGTATTTTTCTATCTTAGTGAACTACTATTTTCAGGTTTCCTTCAATTTAACGGTAATTTTGTACGTAGCCAGAATAACTCAAAATACCGTTACTGAGCTCCGTTAAGACTGGTTTTGCGCAAACGTTAAACGAGTCGTTAAGAAAAAAGGCTAGAATACAGAGGAACCTTTTAAAGGACGGTTGATGTGGTTTTGAATAACCTGCTGGCAAATTTACATGACTATAGATCAAATATAGGGGAGCAGGGTTGGGTTTTCTCCATGGGTCTCCCCAGAGGTGGGGGCTAATTAAGTTAGTTGTATGAATTGTTCAATAGCGTACAGAAGATAGCCCTTCAAGCAGACAAAATCTGTTCTCACCGCCGCTCTAATCTGTTCTTCCATAGCCATAAACTTGTTGCTACTTCGATTCAGAAGATCGTTGCTAAAATCTGCATCTATCACCAACTGAATGTTTAGATCGACAGCAACTTCACCTGAAAAAATCATAACATAAATACACTGCATTTATATTTAAGAAGACAGAGGCCACTTAGAAATTTCCCGAAATTTCTGTTAAGTAAAACGTGTTCCATTTGCAGTTTCCTTGAAGAACCCACCATTTTGGTTGAGGCGGGAAATTTGGCACCGCCGTGAAAGACGAAAGGTAAATAAATTGTGCGAATGATGGAAAATTGTTAGAACAATATCAAAGCTCATTTTCTAAGCTCCCTTCTCGTTAGACCGAGAAATTGCTTTTGTCTTTATTTATCACTATTTTCCAGATATAAAACCTACAGATTACTTGCAAAAAATTTTGTACGAAAATACTTTCCAAAAATAAACCCGTGCGAAACTTTTAATTTAAGAATTCGAAATATTTACAGTACAGTGTAAGACGTTTAAGTAACTCCAAAGCTACTAGTTGAAATACGTAAAGAAACTGGTTGAGATAAGTATGAATTTGGGTCATTTTCCCGTCGGTGTATTTGTAAAACCTTGAGTTTACGGTAAAACTATCATTTTCACAGAATAATTCGTGTTTTGTAGTCGCAAATTAACTTCAGTTATGTTTCAGTAAAGTGCCCAAAATTTTTGTCCGAAATTTGTCCGAATTGCCACTGCCATTGCCAAAAATTAAACGTCCGAAATTTTTTGCAAGTAATGTGTGGAAGGTACAGTACTACATGTACTCTTTTGTTACCTATATAGTCACACCTTATATATGAAAACCATACTGTATGAAGCAAGAGGAAAAAATTTCCAACATACCAACTGAGACTGTTTTTACTACGAGGACCTTGCTGGCCGGCCCATGGCCTATTTCGTTAAAACCATTGACTTGGATCTCGTATTCAGTTTGTGCGAAAAGTCTTTTCAGGACGGTCTCTGTGAAGTTGCTTGTGATATTGATTCCTTTGTATGTCCGAGAAGCAAGGCGTCTGTATTTTACACGATAGCCCAATAGCTGTTCTTTATAGCGGGAGGGAGGCAACCTTCTCCACGAGATGTGAATGGCAGTTGAATTAAGAGGATAGCCTTTGAGGGAAGAAGGAGCTTCTTCGGGAACTAGTGAGATAGAAGCAACCGAGAATAAATATATGAAAATGTAATGATTTTTTTAATTGTTATTTTTAGTTTTTTTTTTTTTTTTTCATGAAGAAGATACTGCATGATACCTTAACTATCATGCAGTCTACCTGTTCACTGAAACAGTCCGTAGCTAATACATTATCGTTAAATAAAATTCATTACGCATACACTACCATTATCATTAAATGGAAACTGAGTTAATGATAATGTGTGCATGGCTGCAGCCTGTAGCAGTGAACAGGCTTGGAGTACTGGGTGATTATTAAGGTATCAAGGTGTGTTAGTCTCAGAACGGAGACTCCTCTCAGTAGTTTTAGCTGAAATAAAGGTTCCGGCTGTTGTTGCTGTTGTTGTTGTTTATGGTCATCAAGCTACGATAAAACAATTAGACTGCGCGGAAGTGCCGCTCACTCATTTGGTGTATGACAACTGCGGTAACAGTTAGTGAAAAGCGAGATCCTTCAAATACTATCGGCGTGCGATAGAAATACGGATAATAGCAAGGTAGTCTAGAATATGAAGAAATTCGACACAGCTTAGAGTATCATTTACCATGCTATCTACTTCTTGAAAATTTTTGTTAGTTTTCAGTTCACATAGTCAATTCATAGTTTCTTTTTTTATTTCTTCCGAAGAACAAAAAATTATAAACTATTCAAACCTCTTGGAGGACATCGCGACACGTTGCAATATTCCCATCGCACGTTTGGGTCAGCGGTGTAACACCAAGGTCCATCCGGGGCACTGCTATCTGGGTTACGACACGCGTTGGAGTCATTCTGTCCATCAGCGACATCTTCAGGAATCCGCCAGTGACGATGAGGACACTGTGATCTCCACGCCTGACAAGTGAGACCGGACTGGGTGATGTTGACGTTGCCACGGTAACCAACTCCGACACCATAGTAACAGTCTATAAGCAATGTAACATACTGTCATTAGCTGTAAAATAATAGTAGCTACTGGTCATACCTTCAGGTCTTGGAGATTTTTCATTTTGTTTAGTTGAGTTCCAAATGTAATTCAGGTTAAAGTGGTCTTCAATTGAGTGTCGAAAGTAATCAAGCGGTTACTTTGGTTTTGGTTTTGGTTTTACTGCGGTTTTAGAGAGGTTAGAAGACTTACAACACCAGCTTATGCAACAGTACCGAAACATATCGGGAATCACAGAGGGTTCCTTAAAATTAAAATCAATAATTTAAAAATGTTAAATATCACTGACCTGTGCTCTTGGTATCATCGCCTGTAGTAAAGGTAGAGAAATATTAAATGACGCCAAACGAGATAATTGGAAAGCATTAATTAAATTGTATTCTTAATTTGTACGAAAGATGCCAAACCCGCCGAGAAGCAAGAGAAGAAAAGACGACGGGGCAGACACAGAAAATTGGTAATTATATACTGATAGAAAGGTATCAAAAGACGGAGCAAGTTCATTCATTGTTAAGAGATAAGCCTGCGAGCCTGAGTATTCTCCCCCTCCCCCCGGATACTGACCTGGTACAGTGTGGTATTGATAACATTCCGGAACATCCCCTCCATTTGCAGTGTCATACAGAGTGCAATTTAGTATGTTTTTGTCCAGCAGGCCAGGAACTGCTGCAATTGCCTCCCTGAAAAACTCCATTTCCTTCTCGCACAAGCCATGGACCAGATACGCGCATGAAATGCGACATATCCGCCGGGCGTGAGGTCTGGCCAGCGACGTATCGCATGGCGGGAAATGATATCGGCAAAATAAGTCTATCATAAGCGGTTCACACTGTTCTGATATTTGAACGGAGCTAACTTCGCGGAAGAAACGTGCCATTTTCGCAATTTGAGTTTCTCCATACTGCAATGTAGTACTATTGCCAAACACGTAGAGACTTGAGATTGAATTCCTGCAAATACCGTCTTTGGTCGTGTAGTTGTAAAAAATACAAGCAGCATTTTTTGTCGAAGCATTTACTACAGGTTCGGCAGGCACGCAGCTGAAACGAAAACAAAGGAAAAAAACGCAATAACTTATCATGTCAGTGAAAGCATTTACCATCTCGGGCAAAAAGCTCAAAGTTAAATGTGGGAACTTTCGAGCCTTTGTTTCGTTTGATCCTGATGTTTGGCCAGTACCATAAATCAGTCATTCTCGTCCCCACACCGGCTGAGAAACCGACGCGAAAAGGGCTGGGGCCTTGGCACGAGAACGAAGGGCCCGTTGGCTAAGAGATACGAAAATGGCATGGGCACGAGAATATACCACAGATATATTAAGAATTTCACAAAAGAAATGAAGTCACACTAAAACATTTCATACAATATTTTTCCAGTGCTCACCTCGAATTCGACTCCACCTCAGTATAATTACTTTCTGTTTGATAAGAAAGGGAAAACAATTAGAGGCAAGTCTCAAATTAACATCACAGAATCCACCACGGTTCAAGGGGTAGATCCAGGAATTTTTGATAGGCAGGCTCCATACCTGTAGGGGGCGGAGTGGGGGATCAAGGACCCTCCCCCTAGATTGGCCAGTGCAGTTAGACATGGATGCATTTAATACTCGAAGATTCCCTGCGTCAAATAGCCTACTTTGGGATACTAGAACGCTTTTCACTTGGGTGACCAAAGTAATACGCATTTTCTTTTCTTTTGCATCACCGCGCTTTGTGATTGGTTTAAAAGTCATGCGCCACTTTCTCGTCAGATCAGATGTAAAACCAAAACCGCTCGCGACTAACTCATACATGCATCTTTTCCCGCGCTTTATGTCAGCTACATGTAATCGGCTGTAGTTTTGATTGGTTCATAGGATTGTCTGTGTCCTTTGTGATCGGCCGGAGTAGTTTTTGCATACTCAACTGAACACCGTTCTATCGGGTGATAAATAAATACGTGAAGACTAAAAGGTAAATTTTCTCCACTTACCGCAATTAATTCCGCTTATGCACGAGATGACAAGAATGCTGACTGCTTGAATTATTTTCATGTTTCAAGGGCCGTAGGTCACACTTATGTGTCAATCTTTTGACGTCACGCTTGTCTGGTATAATGATCAAAGAAGACAAGAAGTTCATGGTTATTGCGGTTGAATTGTTATGAAATGCAATGAAAATTAGGACAGCAATAAAATCCAAAAAGAGTAATCACTGATTCAGAGTACCCCGGTCATAGAAGCTGATTCAGCCTTCTAATTTTGAATTGGTCTCTTTTCAACAACTGAATAATTTATCGGGTCTCATGTCACAATTCTGTCTCATCCCGTTTTAGCCCGCGAGCAGGGTCTCATGAACGTCGGCACGATTCACTGACTTTCACCGCTCGTGCCTTAGCACATGAGCCGGGCTACTGGCAGCCTAGTCTCGTTTCACACGGAGACGGGACTCATGGTAGACGCGAACCAGTCTCGAGCGGGTCTCTCGTCCCTGGTGTAAATTCGGCCATTACGCGGTTACTTGACATACGCTGACGTAAGACCACTAGAGTGTTGTTTCTCCCAGCTGCCTACAATTGGACCCATACTATCGTTGTAGCTAAGGACAAAAGTTACCACATTTGTAACAGCTCTCATCTTATTACTTGATTTCACTGCATGGTTCAGTCATCAAAAGTACCGAGATTCGTCAGTTTGAATCGAAAAGTTATCATCTTGAAGTTAAAGCTATTTGACCAAGTTCTACATTCCAAGCCCGGGATCCCAAGCTCTTATATTACTCTGAAGTTGAATCAAGTTAGTTTACCTTACCTTTTCGGCTAATGATCTGTGTTCCTTCAATTACGGTTAAAGTCAGTTAACCCACCGAAATGGCAAACGAATGCTCTGCATAACCGTGTCGGTGGAACAGATCAGGCGTGAATGAGTGCAATCAAAATGTTCTGAGTCGAGACGACCTTTACAAGGTCACCTCTGCGCAGAGGCGGAAATAAACATGCCAATAGTCTCATTTGGTGTCCACATGCCAAATTATATAAGTTGTTGTTTTTGCCGAACTGTCCGACACCAATTAAGGAATGAAATTCAAGTTCGTTCAAGAATTATTCTGATGAATGTGGTGCAATTTGCAACAAACCAACGTGAAATACCGGTAGTGTGAATATATTAATTACACTCAGAGCAAGAGTTGTTTACAATAATTATTATCTGCTATTAAAGAGCGACGACGAGGCTGTTTTCAAAACAAAATCAACTTGTAAGAATGTTTATGGAAATAACTTTCCATGTTTTCTGTGATTTGCGAAATGCTGTCGACAAATCACAGCGCTGTTAGATTCTTGCTCACTTCTTGCGATTCGAATTAAAATTGTTCAACGTTACAAGCGCATATTATATAAGTGGTTGTGTTGCGTTACTGGATTACCATAATTGGACTTCAGTACCTTTATCTTCGTTCAAACCCTAAAGCTTATAATCTCTCTGCTATATCGCAAGCACAAGCACATTTTTTTTTGTCTGACAAAACATCGCTTCTGACTGCAGTCAGGAAGCTCCTGCTGTAGTAAAATGTTAACTTCTTTTTTGGGCTCTTGATGAGATTTTATTATCACTGGGTTTTTAAGTTTTTAAAAAGACAAGTATAAAAGTACACCATGAAATAAGTCCGAGAAGAAAAATATGAAAACTTTTTTTTAATTGCCTCCTTATGCACAAAATACAAATACAATACAGTAGAGATACAACACGTATGACCAGTGGCGGAGCTACGGGGAGGGGGTGGGGGGGACTTTTTCCTTCTGCGATTTTTTTTACCCAAAATAAAGGGGGCGCCCCCTTCCCTAAATCCGCCAATGCATACATACTTTATTGCAACTCCTTACAAGGGTTTTCAGTTACAGACTACATAACTACCATACTAAAATAACTTTAAAAAAATAACCAAATAACTGAGGTAATAACTACGTGCCGTGATACAGTGGATTAGATTTACTGTTTGCAAATTCATAGTTAAATCAGAAAAAAGTAGGTAAACAATTCTTTTCCTAAAGACAGAGTCTGAAGATTTAACATCGTCTCTTAAATTATTTCAGAGCCTAGCACCACAGTAGGTGAAGGACCACAGTGTTCGGTGGTTCGACGGCACCTTGAAATGTTCAGTTGACCGCGTTGTTTAGTATTTCTGGTGTGAATTTGTGAGCGCGGAGTAAATTTCTTGATTTAGAAGTCAGGGAAGAGTTTATTAACGCATTTAAAGATCTTTACGGCACTGAGGAAGCAATGACCAGAAAGGCAATGATTCTTCGGCAAAATTGCTACAAGCTCGAAATGACAGTTGATAGAACCAAACGAACTATCACATAACGACTTCCAGTAATTTCTGAAAATATTATGTACAGTGGAATCCGATTTCTCGAACCCTCGATTTTTCGATCTTCACGATGACTCGAACCAAAAGTCGTTCCCCCTCCTCAGTCGTACACTGTAATTTTACCCCCGATTTCTCGAACTGCCCGTTTTTTCAAACCAATTTTCGTTTCCCTTGGAGGTTTGAAAAATAGGGATTTCACTGCAATATTAAACTTTACGCTCAAGCTAAATCTCGCGGACTGAATTGTCCTTTGACACTTGGAAGTGTGTATATGCGTTTATTCATTCAACAGCTTTGCGGTTTAAAGGTCGAGTATTAAACAGAGAATCATCCGTCTTTTTATCTTTGCGAATTGAATTATCCAGGAATTATTTTCCAAATCGTTCTCCGAAACGTCGGAGAAATGAGAAAACATTCTGTATTTTCAATGTTCTCTTTTAATGAACTTCGCCACGGAGAACATTGAGGGTCTCACTGTTTCTCGTGGGGCCAGTCATTAAGTGTTTTGTTATACCTCTCAACTCAAAAATAGAAAAAAGACTGTGAAAGAATTATTTGGTTGATGCCGGCTGGCCATCAAATTTGCCGCGGTTTCAAGGTGCACTACCTGATCACGTGCAAGTCGAAAGTTCAAGTTGTTGTTTCCCAAGGGAGTCAGTGAGTTTTGTTCGCCCTAGGGAGTTAGTGAGTTTTGACCCACGGCACGTGACACGTTCTCCTCCAATCGGAAAACGTATTTAGGTTGAGAGGTATAACAAGATTGGTTGTTACACAGCAGCATTCTCTATTTTTTTTGTAGTACCCCATTTTCCAAGTTAAGTAAATAACAAGAAAAATGTAGTGGAATAATGAACACGCTATGCGATGAATTACTCGATAATACTCGCGCACTCACTCATTCCTTCTCTTTTTCCTCGCTCGTTGTTACAAACTCGTAAATCTATACTATAGATTTGAAATATTTTCGCTCGCGCGCGATTGGTCTAAAGGTCGACACACACGAAGGGACTAGTCGCGGGTACAAGTCCCATCCACGAATTCAAACTGGTTTGAATTTTTGGGACAAGTCCCTGCGACTTGTTCCTCAAAACGCTTCGTGTGAACAGTTCGTGGGACAAGCCGCTGCGACCAGTCCCTCCCTGTAAATTCTTCGGGAATGGAATGAAAATTAGGACAGCAATAAAATCCGAAAAGTCCCATCACTGATTCAGAGTACCCCGATATTCAGTCTTCTAATTAATTGATCTCTTTCCATGAACTGAATATTTTATCAAGTCTCCCGTTGAAATCCGGCCCGTCCCGTTTTAGGCTGCGAGCAAGCTCTCATGCGCTACGACCGGCGATTCACTGATGAGGCTGATTGAGGCTGCAAGCAGGCTCTAGTGCGCCAAGGCAGTCCCGTTTTCATACGAAGACGGGACTAGGAACTGAATTCGTCACAGACGCAAACCAGTCTCGAGCGGGTCTCTCGTCCCTGGTGTAAATTCGGCCATTACGCGGTTACTTGAAAATGCGCTTACGTAATCCCGCTAGAGTATTGTTTCTCCCAACTACCGACAGTTGGACTCATACTATCGTTGTAGCTACGGACAAAAGTTACCACATTTGTAAAAACTCTCATCTTATTACTTGATTTCACTGCATGGTTCTGTTACCAAAAGTACCGAGATTCGTCAGTTTGAATCGAAAAGTTATTACCCGGAAGTTTAATGCTATATGACCAAGATCTACATTCCAAGCTCTTATCTTACTTTGAGGTTGGATCAAGTTAGTTTACCTCACCTTCTCAGCTAATGATCTGTGTTCGTTGAAAGACGGTTAAAGTCGGTTAACCCACCGAAATGGCAAACAAATGCTCTGCATGTTCACTAGTTAACAGTGTCGGTAGAACAGATCAGGCGTGAATGAGTGCAATCAAAATGTTCTGAGTCGAGGCGTGACCTTTACAAGGTCACCTCTGCGCAGAGGCGGAAATTAAAACATGCCAATAGTCTCATCTGTTGTCCACATGCTAAATTACAGCTGTTTCGACAAAGATTGTCTCACAAAAGTGTAAATGTGCCAATTGGTAATATGGTTCGTAAGAGTTTAGCGTTGTTTGATTGAGGTTCACAGTGTTTCAGCAAGAAGGAAGGAAAAAGCATGAATACACGTGTTTGTGCTGTCTCCTTCTATCACGCTGAAACACCTTGAGCTTCAAACAAGCAACCGTAAAACCACCATTACCAATAACAACTTTCGACATTGTCGCGTAAGATTTTCCTCGTTTGTGAGACAACCTTTCTCGAAACAGCTGTATACAATTTGTTATACAATACTGTACTGTATACAATACTGTCCTACACTATAGCCAATTAACGAATGAGATTCAAGCTAGTTCAAGAATTATTCTGATGAATATGATGCAATTTGTAATAATCCCGACAGTGTGAATATATTAATAACACTCAGAGCGGTAGCAAGAGTTAATTACAGTAATGATCATCTGCTATTAAAGAGCGATGACGAGGTTGTTTTCAAAACAAAATCAGCATGAACGTTTATGGAAATAATTTTCCATGTTTTCTCTGATTTATGCAAAATGCTGTCGACAAGTCACAGCGCTGTTAGATTCTTGTTCACTTCTTACGATTCGAATCACCATCGTTCAGCGTTACAAGCCCATATTATAAATGGCTGTGTTGCGTTGCTGGATTACCATAATTGGACTTCAGCACTTCCATCTTCAGCTTACAATCTCTTTGCTATATCCCAAACACAAAAGCAGTTTTTTTGTCTGCGAATTTTATGCATGCCCACAAAGCAGTTTATCGATGCATGTAAAACCCTCGTTCAGATTGCAAATACATATCATCGAGGATGATAACAGACCGCTTCCTTATTCTCGGTATTGGATTGGAACTAGCTTGCAACTGAGGCTTGTGAGAGGAGTCTTTTGAAATGCAAATAGCCCTTGCCCCTGGGATTCTCTGCTTAAAATGCAAGTGTTGAGTATGATTGGTCAGCAACTATGTTTTAAATTGTTGTAATTTTTTTCATAGGGAACCTTTGTCAATTATTTTCATCCAGGAGCTGTCCCTATGATATGGGACAATGTTTCTATTTTTATAAAAAATTGCGGCATCGCGTGCGGCACACAGGCGTACATGCTGCGTGGATTTTTGTGGATGTAGCGCGGGGTCCACAACTCTACGTTTATGACTGCTGGAATTTTGCTTAACTATTTTCGTCGTAAGCTGCTCTGATTATGGCTCCTGTTTCATCAGAATGTAATTAAGTTAAGAGTTTGAACCTGGGAATTTGTCCAGGAAGCCGTTAGTCATAAAACCATTTTCGCAATCAGAACCCAAGCCGGGTTCTTCTCATAGCAGGGAAGCGGCAAACCAAAACAACAAGTGAGTTCCAGCTTGAGGTGGCTTAAAACAGTTGTCTGCTTTTTTGAGACTTTTAGAACTAGGTGCGATTTTTCACTGTTTTGAATGGCTGTGCAATTTTTTCAAGGTAACTCTCCACTGTACCTTTCGTTGTGTTTAAGTCATAAATTAAGGTTGCACTGTTCTGTTGCATAGCAACAAACTTGACCCACTTTTTGCCATCAATTGCCCGTCTATCTTAAAAACTAAGCCGGCGACCCCATTTGTTGTTTTCTTATAAAAATCTTTTTATTACACACAAAACAAGAAACCGGTAAAATTAGAAAAAATTCTGTGGAGTAGATTTTGCTTAAAATTAAAAAAAATGGAAATTTCAAGATTGGAAAAATTCCACTCCACAGTTTTTTTCTTTTAAATTTCGCACATGCATTCCGTTTTTGCTCTTCAATATTTTTTTGCAGGCATTAAAAAGGTAGGGTCAACGGATCAGTTTTTGAGATATTAGCTTCGTGGATAAGTAATTTTTAGCGCGGGTTCTACNCCTCCATTTGCAATGCCATACAACGAGCAATTTATCATGTCTTTGTCCACTACTGGAGCTGCTTCTGCTGCCTGTCTGACATGAACCATCTCTTCCTTACACAAATCTTGGTCCATATATTCGCATGTCTTGCGACAGATCCGGCGAGCGTGAGGCTTGTCTAGTGAAGTATCGCATGGCGGGAAATGATAGCGACAAAATAAGTCTATCATAATGGGCTTGCACTTCTCGGATATTTTAGCGATTGTCATATTAAAGAAGCGTTGAAATCTCATGGTTTGCTTTTCGCCATGCGCCAGAGTATCATTGTCACCAAAGACGTACAAACTTGTGATGACATTCTTGCAAAGACCGTCTCTGACAGTGTAGTTGTAAAATATACAAGCACCATTCTTCGCCGAATCGCTTACTGGAGGCTCTGCCTGTATACAGCTGAAAACAAACGCATGTTNCTAACTCCCCGTGGGAACGCAATCTCGCCAAAATTCATTAATGTAATTTATGAATTTTGTTTGGCACGGCAGAAGCACGACGTTTGAATCGCTGCTGTGCCAGAGTCGTGTAGCACGGCAGAGCTTGTCGAACTTAATTGCTTGCCGAACTTAATTCAAAAGTTTGATTCAGACGCCGTGCTTCTGCCGTGCTCTTGTCGAACTTAATTCTTGAATTTAGTTCGGCACGGCAAAAGCACGACGTCTGAACTGGGCCTAACGCATTAAAATAGTGACAAAAAAACAGTTCAATTATAACTACACTGTTTTACAAGATTGCCGTGTGGGGAGCCTGACTGACAGTTGTTTTAAAGTCGGTCAATTTCCCTTTTGAAGCGTCGAAGAGAGTCTGATTTCCGTAAAGAGACGGGTAGGCTATTCCATAATTGCGCCCCGCAAAAGCCAAAGCCACGCTTGCAGTAGTTCGTGCGCGGCTTGGGCAGATCTAGTTTGATCTCAGAATCTCTTAAAATATATGGTGTACTGTGGATGCTAAATAAGGTTTACATAATCAGAAATTTAAATAGCACAAAAAACATGGGTGTGAGAATAATCCAAATTTGGCGCAACAATTTACAGAACCTACCTCGAAGAAGCCTCCGTTTGAATAAAATTATTCCCTAAAAAAGAGGAAACACAAGCATCCACTGTAATTAAATAAATGAACAAAAACCTGTGTAGTAAACAGACTGAACATTGAACATTGTTCTAGTTGCCTTTGCCGTCGTGGTTTTCTTAACACCAAGTAATTTTGACGTTATTGTACCTTTGATAAAGTCGGTTTACTAATTATAAGGACAAGATCAAGTAACATGTGCACCTTAAAATCGCGAAATAAACGTGTCGCGAAAATTTTGTGTAATAAGGTATGTCGAAAATTAAGCAATTTTTGATACCTACCGAAAAGAGCCAAGGAAATGTACAAGATGACGGGACTATCAAGGACTCCAGCCGTTTTCTTGTGTCTGGGGCACATTATATAAATTTCCCAATCTGAAAAATAAAACTCTGATAAAAACCCAAACTCGCCGGAAAACAGGTGATTCCTGTGATATTTAAACCTAGTTGTCGTAAAGAATGAGTCGTAAATGTAATGTCACTTAGACCCGGTAAGATTGTTGAAAGAACTATCACTAGGCCGGTTGGCTTTTACGTTTTTATGCCGAGATATTGAAAAATACGTCTTTTCCTTTCCCCCATTCAGTGCAATATTATTACTCCTTAATAAATTAATCAATTAATATATTGATTAGTTTATGTTACCTTTGATATTGTATTCATATAACTATCATTTTATTTAGCGGCCTTCACACAGCAAACTTAAGTTGGCAAACTCGTATTGACAAACTTCAATAAGTTGGCAAACTCGTACCTTCGCGCGTCAATCTCGCGTCAAATCACAATACAAAGTAATTTGCAACATGGCCGACTTAGTGCAGTCTTAGAACAGTGAAACAGAAGAAGAGAAGAGAAGAAACAGAAAGAGGTGGAGAAATAGAAAAGTTTGGACGAAACCCTGTTTGTCCGCTAGCTCCTCCATTTTCTTTTGTTTGTATTTAGTATTTTTGTACGCTACAGATAAAACGTCCCACACAGGCGGACAATTGTAAACCTCTCCGATAAATTTAAAAGCGGCCTCACGTTCATCTTGACTTGCGTCCACCATTTTGTGAAATGTCACCCAAATAAATCACGTGAACAGAGCGCGTGTTTTGGTGGTTGACAGTCAACAACACATGTTTGCCAATCGTTCACACGTCAGATACGAGTTAACCAACACGAAAAAGTTGGTGAAAAAGTTGGCGAGAATAGAGACAAGTTCTATTTGTCGCCAACAGTTTGCCAACGTGTTTGCCGACTGTTTTTGTGCCGTTCACACACACCAACTTGAGTTTACCAACATGAGTTTGCCAACTTTAGTTTGCCGTGTGAAGGCCGCTTTAAATAGCCTGCATTTCCAAAGTGTGCGTTATATTGAGCACGAATATCGTGTTGTTTTTCACTGTCCTGTCATCTTAACCCAGGTCAAATAGGTTAAGTAAGCGAAAAAATACTCGTCGCCGGCTGAAACCAGCGATTTGCATTGATTGTAGAACACAAGCTGCAGACTAGCTACTTTCAATGCAAAAACCTTATCACAGAAAACCTGACAGTCCAACAGACTAAACCAAAATCTTTACAAAGTCACCTCCGAATTCATTTTCTACTATAGTAAACCCTGTTCTGGACTAAATTATTACAACACCGGCCACTTTTCCGGTAAATTATACCCTATTCTCAACCAAAACTATCTGATTTCTATATCCTATGCCAGACTACACTGCTTGAAAACCATACCCTTCACAGCGGCACATACATTGGGGTGGCACCAAGGTTGCCGCTTCCGCTCTGTGCTGCTTGTCACGTTAGAGCAGTTTCGCAAGACCTTCACAGACCATAAGTAAATCCTTAATTTACATTGAGAATTGTTTCTTTTAACTTTAAAAGAAAGCTTAGGCCATATATCGTTCAAGCAACTTCAACTTTGCGCAAAATTACGCCTATTCACGAAGGGCTATGAATTTCTATTTTGCAAAGGAATAAACATGCTGGTTATGGAAGAATAAATGTAGCGAGACAAACCGGTGCAGCTCATTGCTATCCACTGCAATTTCCGTCGATCTAAATCACCTTTTCTCCGCTGCTAAATTGAGCTAAATGTTTCTTTTCCTTGATGAAACTAAGCAAGCATGCAACGGTTACTTAACAAGTGGGAATGATGGATGAATAAAAGTCATATCATTAAATTAAACGATAGAACGCAACATAACGTTTAACTTACCAAGTTACAGCTTTGATGAACTTCGCTTAAGAATTATTGATGTCTTCACACGGTGTCTCTTCTTTATATGTTCTGTTTCTGACCGAAGATTCCCTTAGCTTGCTGGAATGCAAAAGTTTTATACAACAGGGGTTGTATTAACAGTAATCTAATTCCATTTGAAACGTGACAACCTTGGCACGGCCTGGGGTCATGTTAACATCGGGGGGACGTGCAATCAACCGCCTCTCATGTGACCACTTGTAGCCGTACCCACCCCTCCCAAGGATTTTCGTCTGGGAATGGTGGGTACGATTCACGTAAGTTCGAAACGCTAGCCCAGCCACTATACCGACAGATGGTGTTACACTTCAAATTTTTTTTTCCCCAGACCAACAAAGAGCTATCAGAAGTTGCTTTGTTCGCAAGCTATACCGACAGATGGTGTTACAATTCAAAGTGAAGAACTCGCGTGTCTGTAGTTCGCGCGCGTTTGATGGCTCTCGCGCATCGTTCCATCTCGCTCCCTCTCTCTCCTTCCTCAATCGCAAGTGCCTGCTGCCTAAATCAGGTTATGTTTTAGGATCGCTACTCTCTCGCCCACTTTCGGGATTTGCCTACAACCGTTGAATTTTTTCCCTTATACTCGGAGGATAGCCACTTTTAAGGGGTCTGCTTTTGGAATCGTCCACGGTAGTGCATACAAATTTATTCATCAGTTGTATGTAGGAATGTGTGGTAGGAACGGGGGTAGCCGAAATTGGTAGATTTAGTGGAAATAGTGACCGCAAAACGGAATATTATATCGGCCATTTGTATATACCTACCTGATCTTTTTTGTTATGCATCTTCTCTAGTACATGTATCTTAGAAATAGCGGTGCAAACGGGAGAGAAAATACAACAGAATTGACTTGTTTATTTTTATTTTTGCTTATCACATACAGCTTTACAGGTAGGTCAACTGAACGCGATGCTGTTTTGTTTATCGTAGCAGAAGTTTCCCAAGACTTCTAAAACAAAATCGTGGAAAATGACGAAAAAAAAAAGTTTCTGTTCTCTAATTGGCACGCCCCTCAGTATGAAATAGAGAACTTAATTTTAGATTATTAGACTACGGGTGAATTTCACTGTATGAGGGAGTAGTCAAAGAGGTCCAGCTTCGTCAGTGAAATATGCGTACAGAAAGTTCAATGCTGTGCGCAAACTTGTAACCTATTTAGTGACAATGTAGCTATGTTTATAACATTTAATGATTGCCTTATAATAATAAAAATATGTGTGTCCAACCAAAAAGCAATTCCGACAGGTTGGAAAGTTGAGGAAATCTGATTTCCCTGCATAACGGTCGCGATTTAATATTTGAATAAAAGATTCAGGTTTAAAACCATCCATTATTGAGGATCAACGAGGGGTTCTTCGTCCTGGAGTTCCTTCTTTTGTTCCGTCAAGGCTTGTTCTTTATCGGAACAATCTTTGGGGGATTCTTCGACTAGGATTTTCATCTTGTGTTCCTCCAAGGCGTGTTCTTTTTCTGAAATGAAAAGTTTATAACTGTGTTAAAAATATTTAAGATTATTACATTTTTATACGCAACTTAAACCGTTGCGAAAACAAAGCATGAAATAATTCAGGCTTGCACGAGACTCTAACCCATGACCTCTGCGCGGTCACCAGTACAGTACTCTACTAACGTCCAGTAGGCTTGGTAAATCACCGGTAAGGCGGCAAAGTTGATGGATTAGAATTCCATTCAAGAATGCATTTTTTCTTCCATTTCTCTTATGGAAACGAAATCTACCTTGTTGTTTCTCCGCGGTGTCTTCGAAGACTTCGGCAGTACTTCGTCCCCTGGTTTCAGGAAGAATCGAACACAGCAAAGCTCCAAACATGGTCAAGCCGCCCATAAAGGCAAAGGGCATGATGGGATTAATACGCGTCATCTGAACCACAAACGGCGCACAAGCAGCCCCGAGACGACTGGCTATGGACACCATGCCCATACCACTATTCCTAAAAAACAACATGAAGGAACAGTTACAGTGGTTTAGTGATGGTCAACTGATCCAAAACTAACCTTGCACGCCAGGGTGGTAACTAGTAACAGGCAAACCGAGACATCTCCTCAGTCTTTTATTTCGTTTTTTGTTTTTTTATAGTCAAAAACACCCTAAATAGCTAGGAAGAGAATTTAACCACGGACACACCATTTACATCTCAGACATACTGTTTTTTTATGAACGTACGTTGCCTCAGTCATATTTTTTTCTGCCTTCGACCCTTTTCGTGGACGTTCTTAAAGCTATTCGCGCACTCCTCCCCGAAGACCGAGAGCGAGGAAGTTTGTGTGACAAGCAATTCGGATCGGTCTTCGGGATCATCAACTCTCGCTTCATATAAATCTCGAGCTCATAATCTAATTTATAAGTATAAAATGAAGTTATGCATGTAGCTGAATGTATGTACGTATTTTCTAGATGCAATGGAACCCCAAGAATAGGGTCACCAACGGACCATGAAAATTTGGCCGTATTGAAAAGGGTGTTTGAAAAACTCACAAATTAACTCGATACTGTGGAGTAGAGAGTTTTCTTACATAAGCTTTATTCTAGTTCAGAACAAACGCGAACGCTTACGCGTGCAACTAGCGCGAGCAGATATTATTCATTCACAGCGCGAAATATTTTGAAGTCTTGTTTTCGACCCTAAAAAAACTCACCTTTTTCTTTAGTTCAGAACAAAGAAATGCACGAAAAAGGTTGCTTATTCGTATAGATTATAGCTCCGTGGAATTTCTTTAGAAATCTAAGCTCCAGACTGGAAGTAAGAGAAATCTCCTCATATCAGTTGACCCCCCATATTAGTTGTCTCTTGCATCAAACCTTTTTCGCTCATACCCGCTCATTTGATCTCCCTACAATCCGCCCTACATATAAGCGCCCTGGTTCTCATTCCCTGCCGTCGCTGTGAAAAATCCGCAAAAGAATGTCGCAACTCTCACCATTTGATCACGCACCATGACAAAATCCACGCGAGAACCCCCGACATGTGCGTGGATCCGCGCGGATATATGTCGTCAGGATGGCGCAATTTGTTCTAGAAATACCAAAATTGGCCCATGTCATAGGTGCGCGCGGATTCCAAGAATTACGGTCTCCGTCCCCGATTATGGCTCCTGTTTCTGATGCTCAATACCCTAAGAGGTACCACAAAGAGTACTGTCGACACTCAAGAGCCTGTCGACACTGATGCGCTGACCATCGCCTCTCCGAGACGAGGATGCCAACACCGCAAAAACTCCTGCTGTGGACCTTTTGGGGCTGAACATCCTGAGAGGTACCAAAAGCACCTTTTTAATCCCGAGAAGGTACGAGGAGCACCCCTGTCCTTTTTGAATGGGATTTGCTGTCAATCTTACCTCACTACGGTTGGAAAGAGTTCGGCTGAGAAAATAAACAAGGAGTCGAAGGAAGTGGTAATAAACATTTTACCCAGGGAGCCAAGCGTCACTCGACCAGCAATGTAACCTAAGATGTTGCGATCCTACTTTATCGGTTCTTGTCATGTTGGTGTCTCGAAACGTTTTTCACGTAGTATCAGCCTTCCAGTCTACTGTTTGTCTTCACACATTTTTTGGCTTATCAGATCTCATGTAGATCCTACGTTGGCAGCGTTTATCGTATGCGGTCCCTTGCAGTTTCTGGTTTCTCATTAAAATAAACTAAAATAAACTAAACTAAACTAAAACTAAATGCAATTACAAATTACAATATAGAGCGGTGTCGTAAAACCAAAACCAAACCAGTTACTTACCAATTAGACTACTCAGCAAGTCAAAACCAAAGTAATTGTCTAATTACTTTCGACACTGAAATGAAAACCGCTCTAAAGAAACCTGAAGTTGCTTACTAGTCGTTGCTATGTCCCACGTATATATTAGTTATGCAGCGCTTCGAGTGGTATATCATGAAATATCCCACGAGTCACCAAGGAAATGACAAGTGGGATATTTCATGGTAACCCACGAGAGAGCGCTGCATAACTATTTTATATCATGCAATAGAAAATACAGTGGCCAGCACAATCAGTGGAGCATACGCGCAGCGCATGATGGGAAGGTCAAGTGAAATACATAAACAATAGCCTCCATTTAGCGCGACAATAGGCTTGGATATTTGTCCTTGGACATTATTTGTTCCGAGAAGCGAACAGTTTTCCGAGAGTGTAGCTGGAGGAAACTGTGGGCTTTGAGGAACAGACAATGTCCAAGGACAAATATTCGAGCATATTTCCACGTGAAATGAAGGCTATTGTGTTTGTTATCCTTCAAATATTTTTCGCAAAACGTGCAGTTTTGAAAATTGGGGAATATTCTCGGATATTCCCCAGTTTCAGCTGGGGAATATTCGGTCGCGTGACGCGTTTAGACCAATTGCGCGCGAGTGAAAATATTTGATGGATTATGATTAACAATTATTCACCGAAGTGGAGGTGAATAGTGGTGGATATCTACCGAGCCGCAAAGTGGAGAGATAAAAATCCACCACCTTCACCGACACTGAGGTGAATAATTGTTTTAGTATATACCACACAGGCGGAATAACTAGCGGACCAAAGAGTAACTTGATTTGTTTAAGAGCAACTTTATTTGAAACGGGAAGCCATTTTGTTTTTCTTCGGCTGCTCGGATGTGAATAGCACTTGGCTAATCACCTCCCAGCTAGCCAATCAGCGTGCGCGAAAAGTACTATTCACTTGTGTGGTATATACTAATATCAGATATTCCCCAGTTTTAGCTGGGGAATATTCGGTCACTTGACGCGTTAAGACTAATCGCGCGCGAGCGAAAATATTTGATGGATTATAACGTCAAATATACAACGGCTTTCCTGTATTCTGATTGGCTGTATTTTCTATGGCATGGTATAAAGTCGTGTATGCAATTCTTTAGTTTTTCATATACGCGTAAGTTCTCCGACCCTTCTTCAGTTCTCGCTTGAAAATTAAACTTTGGTTCCCTCTTGCTGCCTCAGTTCCATGATTTCTTTACCTAACGCCAAGAACAAAAACAGACATTAATTAATAGACATTAATATTCAATGCCGTCTCCAGTAAGAGAAGGTGATACATTGACTATGGGACAGTACGGTTTTCCCGCCTGCTGAGTACTGATTGATCAATTCAAATTTTAGACCCACCGGCCGTGTGCTAAGCCGAGGTTCGTTTTCTCAGGGCCCGCCCTCACTACGACGGAAGAATTTGAAAACGTAGGTTTACTTCTAAGGTTAGGCCTATCATCCGCACCAATCCGTCACGAAAACAGAGCCTTTTGAAAACGCTCTTCAAACCGGAGGAATTTGAAAACGCCGGCTTTGCGTTTTCGTGTGGACAGTAAACATTTGAAAATGGAGCTTTTCGTAAACAATGACCTCACGATAATTATGTGATTTCCCCACTGGAGTTTTTTCCAACACAAATCCAAAATGACCGGTGATTATTGCGTTTTGAAATTCTTCCGGCGCCTTATGGGAGGAAAACATTTGATGCGTTTTCAGAGTGAAATATCCGTTTTCAAATTCCACCGCGTAGTGTGGACGAGGCCCCAGGCAAACAATGTCTCTAACGTGTGAATTGTATACCTTGCTTCACCTCAGTGTCTTCTATTACTTCAGGGGTCCTTTTCCCGAGGGTCTCGGGAAGAAACCAGCAGAAAAGGACTGCAATGAAAGACAAACCGCCCATAAAGGCAAACGGCAAAATGGCGTTAACACGTGTCATCTGTACAACAAATGGCGAACAGGAACCTCCAATGTCACTTGCAAGAGCTACTATACCCATGCCACTATTTCTGAAAGGAAGAAAGAGACAGTGATAATCAATGACCCAAATTGATTGATCGAAGCTAAATCAAAACGAATATAAGGTTGAGATTCTAGACAAAACTCGGCACGATGCAACTATTGCATTTTGTCGCCTGGAAATTAGCTTACCGAACTTGCGTGTAACCAGCCTCGAAATTGAACTTGCCCAAAATTGTCTTCCCTGACGAAAGATCCCCGAAAGCTATGCTCTATTTATTGATACGCCCCAACAGGACATTCCCGAATTACCTTAAGTGCGAGTTTTGGTGCCCATCATTTCATATGAAAATGAGATATCATTCACATGCAAATTAAATTCAGTTTCATATGAATGGTTATGCACCAGGCCTCGCTTTGATAGAGAGGCTTAGATCAACTCAGAAATGGCTCAGGTAAGGGAGAACGCTCAATTAGATCTACCGCTGCGCTGGGGACCTCGACCCCTTCGAAAGGTGCAAATCACCCCTCTCTCCCTTAGTCGAACGACAAAGAGCCCACTTCACAACCCCGTCTGTTTCTGTTTCAAGTTTTAAAGAGTCCGACTCGTCTTTAGGGCCCAACAAAATGGATCAGCCTTGAAACTGCCGCTGGTAATCATCAAGCTATAATAATTATTTTACTTGTAAATAGGTGTGCCCTGGGTCTTTCAGATCTTTACCTGACCACGGTTGGAAAGAGTTCGGCCGAGAAAATGTACACGACATCGAACGAAGCGGTGATAAATAGTTTACCCAGAATACCAAGCGTGACTCGACCAGCAATGTAAGCTGAAGGAAAAACAGTAAG